TTTATGAATTACAAAATGCTAAGATATGAGAATATGCAGTTTCCTATTCCTCGGCTAGCCTAGCTGACAATCACAGACACGTTTGCATATGCAATTAAAGGGCAACTATATCAGAATGTACTGTATTTTTCGTTTTTTACGTAATATCAAGGATATATATCCTAGCTAATTTGCCTAAATAAGAAGAGAAACAGCATAATTAAATTACTCTTCAGAAGACAGATATTAGCCTGAATGGCAGGAGAACTTCGCTTTACATGGGAGGAAATTATTGCGTTCTCAGAAAAATTATAGGCTCGATGCATATTAATCATAATCTCCCATTAACCATCTAAATATTTGAAAAAAAAAACAATAAAAGCTACAAAGTATATGGAAAATGAAGCTTCGACTAATGAAGGAGAATTTGTTTCAAGGAGCAAACCTTAATTGCACTAAAAAATGAAGTCTAATTTACTATAGGCAACACAGCTAATTCTCTTTTGAAATGAGTTCATCTGTTAATATTCAACTAGACCAGAGAGAGCACAGTGAAGATAGAAAACGGAAAAAATTCTAACAATTAGATACCACTGATGAAAATTTTTATTGGATGAAGCATATAGTGATAAAGAAGTGAGCGAAGATAAAAACCCCCATATACTTACTGCAAAGATCTAGAGAGTATATAAACATTATGATTGAAACAGAGTAAGCAAATGAAACGTGTGAGCAAATAAAAGAAACTTAATACCTGGATCGAAAACTAAAGGTGCATTAGGGCCGATTAGCATAGCAACAGCGCCAGCGCCTCCAGTCGGACGAGCGTTTTTATTGCCGTAGAGAGCGATATCAGCAGCGACAACTAAGGCAAGGCGACCTATCAGATGATTGAATGGAAACGTATATTACTATAAGATCCTTAATAGTAGTATGGTAGTATAAGGTTCAAATAGTTTTTTATATCATATATATGAGATGTCTAAAAAGCTTACTTATAAGCGAAAAGTAGTTTTTAATTCTTTAAGTTAATCGGGAGCCCGAGGAGTAAGGAACACTCCTTAGTAAAACAATTAAGGTAACAAATAGATAACCTCGGATGAAATTAAGTTAAGTCTTACGCATGTTTCGCTCATAAAAAAGGCGCTCGGTGATATTAGGTTTATCCGCACTTTTGCAGACACGAGCTCGTGACCCAAATAAAATAGGGATAATGCCACCCGAGGATAAATTAACGTAGCTTTGTAATATAAAAAAATCTGGTTGGGCCATATGAATTTAAGTGAGAATTGTTTAGTCACGATTAAGGGCAGTGCAGGAAACAAAAGGATGGAGAATAAGTCCTAATTAGAATCTCAATGTATGTTCCAACCATGACAGTAGATGTAAATGTGTAGACAACTGAAAGAAATTACTTCAAAAAATCTATAAATTAAAATTTAGCCAAAAATAATTGCTACCATCAATCCATATAAAAAAAATTTAAAATTAAAGTATAAATTTGCATCGAGGACGCCAAAGGAATAAGCAGAATACTTCGTAAATATTACGTTACATTTAAGTGTCACAAATAAACGATCGAAAAGAAAATGGTAGAACTCAAATTATGCTGTCATTGGCCATGCTTCTATAACAATATATATAGATACGATGAGAAATTGAGTATCGATTAATCTCTTGAGATAACATTGTTAGGGGGACTTTCATTTCGTATGAAATTGAATGAAGAAGAGATTCGTTGGTCGATCTCACCACATGAGGACGGATGAAACTCGTTGTACTGCAGACGGTTGGATTTTATACGATATTCATCTTGACGCAGTCCACGAGACTTCCTCCTTCCTTTCAGGTGAAAACGTGCTGAGCTTTCGTCCATCATCCGATGGACAGCATCAGAGCTGGGTGTCATTCTTGTAAAAGTCTCACCTTAACACTATCCGGCTCTATCTTACTTCTTATATAGACTCAATTGAGCCAAAAGAAAAAAAATCTAGATAGATCGATATAGAGTGGTTTGGTTAATTATCTGGCATACTGGTCCTATTACTTTTGCTCGAGTGTATGCGTATGTGTATGTGTGCGTGTTAGTGTCTATAAGCAATACCGGTCCTAAATCAGAGTTGTCAAAGGTTTAATCTCAAGTTCTGATCCTCAAGACCTAATGACCCAAGAGAAAGCCTTGACCGAGACTGCGTGAGTCCGTAAGCAAGTATGGTTGAGATAATGAGATATGAGCTTGTAAGCATGAAAATCAAGTTACAAAACCACTTATCCTAACCTTTCAGTCTAGGGTCATTAGCAAATCTACTAGTTTGAAACCATTATAGTTCATGTCCAGTTTCTACCACGTGTTCGGTCACTTCTGACCGTTGGATCCAGCTTCCTTTGCAAGCATTTTTGTGTTCGACAAATCTTTGTCGAATAGGTCGACATGTCTCACCAACATAACATCGACCACATGAACAAACAAGGTTGTAGCAGCCGGATCTCGATAAAGGGTCATATACTTCTCCAAAAGATGGCATAACAGAAGAAAGTGTGAGGGTCTCCTTGAAAACTGTTTTTATGCCACACTTCTTTACCAATTCGCCTATTCTTTTTAGAGAAGGCATGACGGCAAAATCAGGGCATGGGAAAATGTCTCAGTTTGTTCTCCGTCTGGAAATTTATTCCTCAGTAGAGAGGTATTATTCTCAATAAGGCCTAAAGGATAATTATCTTCCAGGAATATATTTGTCAGCCGTTGTAACTCTTTAGTAAAATGTTTGCTATCCGCTAGCCTCATACTTCTAAGAATCATTGAATTCAAAATTCCAACTTTAGTCTTGTAACTATGGTTAGAAAGAAAATTAAGCAAGGAGCCAGCATATTTTGGCTTCCTAACCTACCCTTTTCCCTAATGATGAGAACATCCATAAAAGGTAAGGACTTATTTTCTTCCGACCATCGTATAACAGCCAAACGCTGGAGTATAACGAGATTTATCCGTCCTCATCTGGTGAGATCGACCAACGAATCTCTTCTTCATTCACTTTCATACGAAACGAAAGTCCCCCTAACAATAAATATTCCTCAAATAAAATGTACAGATGGGCCTTGATAATTTAAGATAATATGTATTCCATAAGTGGGAGCAAGAATATGAATGCCTAACAAAAATTATGATATACGCACACCAAACAGATCCTTCGGTTGCCGTGGGAGCGCCTCAGACAAATTAGACGTTGCTGAGCAGAAGTTCATGAATGTAGGCGTCTCGAGTAACAAACAAGCACCTACAAACAACTCAAAGATGGTAAATACGGCAGATTAATGCTATATTTAGTATTCATTCTTACTTTTGCTCAAATCCAACTAGCCTATACTTCGTATCAGTTCCTGAGTTTGGACAGCATGGTGGATCCAAAGAGTCTTTTTGAATCATTCTATATTATTTCACTTAATGTACTTCAAATTTGACCACCGGTGAACTGCTATTTTAAAACCAGCTACCTATTTTCGGGAATAAAAACACGTTATTGAAGTGTGAGGAGAACTGATAGAGGGATTTCCAACAGTGAAGAAGTAAGCTTTAGGAAGCCTTTGAATGTCACTTAACTTTGCCTTTAAAAAGATTTCATTATCCAAGATGGACTGCAAATTCGATGACACCCAGGTACCAATGTACCTCCGAAGGGATTCAAAACTGAGTCGCAAGTGCCGTGGAGAAACGTTACCAATCAGCAACACAGCTATGAGTACCGATAGGCAACAGCACCAGTAAAATAAGTAGGGTCGCGGGCAACTTGGATCCACATTACAGCTCTGCTAGGCAACACTGCGTTCCGGAGCAATGCGGATTTCAAGACTAGCAAGACCTTGCTCACATCATAGTTGTAATAGGACTTTCGGTTAAATAAGCACTTATTTGCATATTGATTAGGTAGAGGAATCTCTTGGTTTACAGCTGTTGAATCAACATCCATTTTGAGGAAGTATATAATGGATTCGAAAGTCGATCGCATCGTGATGCGACGGGACTTATCCTGATCAGTTATCGGTTGAACATACTGGATGACGCTGTCCACAGTGCACTCCTCTTTGATTCCGGCGATAGTGCTAGGCTTTCGTCTATCATGATAAATATCATCAGATTCAAGCTAACGAATAAGGAATACTCACCGGCTTATCCATACATGTTGCTTGTATACCCAAAACCTTTGCAATTTTGAGGTGCAAAGTGATTTGGTTAGTTCAAGTCATGTCCATATATATATGTAGGTTTGTGCTTACTTGTGTCCTCATGCATGTAGATGTACGAAGCCAACAGTTATAGTCCAAAGTAATAAGAAAAGAGCGTAAACTTCGTCCCCGGTTTAGTGACTCCCACCACCACTTTTTAAAATCATCACTCCGATTGCGTAATGCCGAGCTTACATCTTGTTAAGTTTTTGCCTATATTTGAGGGCGAGAATGAACTAAGATGTATATAAAGTGTGGTCGTAATTAGATCAATTACCAATAATATTAATTATATCGTTA